GCAGTTGCTTGTCCATATGCGATTTTATTTCTCCTTCACTTATGAAGCTTAGTTTCGCTGGATATGAAATTCTGGGTTGAAAATTCTTTTCTTTCAGGATATTGAATACTGGCCCCCACTCTCTTCTGGATTGTAGGGTTTCTGCTGAGGTGTCCACTGTGTCTGATAGGGCTTCCCTTTGTGGGTAACCCGACCTTTCTCTCTGGTTGCCCTTAGCAATTTTTCCTTCATTTCTATCCTTGTGAATCTGACAATTATATGCCTTGGGGTTGCTCTTCTTGAGGAATATCTTTGTGGTGTTCTCTGTATTTCCTGGACTTGAATGCTGGCCTGCCTTACTAGGTTGGGGAAGTTCTCCTGGATAATATCCTAAAGAGTGTTTTCCAACTTGGTTTCATTCTCCCCATCACTTTCAGGTACACTGATCAAATGTAGATTTGGCCTTTTCACATAATCCCATATTTCTTGGAGGCTTTGTTCATTTCTTTTTCCTCTTTTTTTTTCTAATCTTGCCTTATTGCTTTATTTCATTGAGTTGATTGTCAGTCTTTGATATCCTTTCTTCCATTTGATTCAGCTATTGAAACTTGTGTATGTTTCATGAAGTTTTAGTACTGTTTTTCAGCTCCATCAAGTCATTTATGTTCTTTTCTACACGGATTATTCTAGTTAGCATTTCGTCTAACCTTTTTTCAAGGTTCTTAGTTTCCTTGCATTGGGATAGAATATGCTCCTTTAGCTTGGAGAAGTTTGTTATTACCCACCTTCTGAAGCCTGCTTCTGTCAATTTGTCAAATTTATTCTCCATCCAGTTTTTTCCCTTGCTGGTGAGCTGTTGTGATCCATTGGAGGAAAATAGGTGTTCTGGCTTTTGGCAATTACTGCCTTTTTGCACTGGTTCCTTCCCATCTTGGTGGATTTATCTACCTTTGGTCTTTGAAACTGGTAACTTTTGGATGGGATTTCTGAGTGGACATCCTTTCTGTTGATGTTGACGCTATTTCTTTCTGTTTGTTAGTTTTCCTTCTGACAGTCAGGCCCCTCTACTGCAGGTCTGCTGGAGTTTGCTGGAGGTCCACTCCAGACCCCAATTGCCTGTGAATCACCTGCAGGGCTGCAGAACAGCAAAGATTGCTGCCTGTTTCTTCCTCTGGTAGGTTTGTCCCAATAGGGTATCTGCCAGATGTCAGCCCAAACTCTCCTGTATGATGTGTCTCCCAGTTAGAACACATGGGGGGGGGTTCAGGGAGCCACTTGAGGAGGCAGCCTGTCCCTTAATGGAGCTCAAGCACTGTGCTGGGAGATCCATTGCTCCCTTCAGGGCTGCTGGGCAGGGACATTTAAGTCTGCTGAAGCAAAATCCATAATCGCTCCTTTTCCAAGGTGCTCTGTCCTGGGAAAGGTGGGAACTTTGTAAGTCCCTGGTGAGCTACTGTCTTTTTTTTTTCAGAGATGCCCTGCCCAGCAAAAAGGGAATCTACTTGACAGTGTGCCTGCAGAGGCCTTGCTGAGCTGCCTTGTTGGGCTCTGCCCTGTTGCTCTGTAACCTTCCTGTGTAAACTTCCTGGTGGCTTTGTTTACACAGGCAGTGTTGAAACCACCTACCCAAGCCTCAGCAATGGCAGGTACCCCTCCCTGCACCAAGTTCGAAAGTCCCAGGTCAAGCTCAAACTACTGTGCTGGCTGCAAGAATTCCAAGCTAGTGGATTTTAGCTTGCTGGTGTTTGTGGGGATGGGACCCACCAAGCCAGCTTACTTGGCTCCCTGGTTTCAGCCCCCTTTTTCCGGAGAATGAGCTGTTTTGTCTCGCTGGCATTCCAGGTACCACTTGACTAAAACAGCCACCTAGTTTTGTGCTGGAAACCCAGGCATTGTAGGTGCCAGAGGGAATCTCCTGGTCTTCAGGTTGTGTAGACTGTGGGAAAGATGCAGTATCTGAGTCGGAGTGCTGGAGTGTCCGGAAAAGTCCCTAACGGCTTCCCTTGGCTGGGCAAGAGCGTTATCTGGCTCCTTGCACTTTCCAGGTGAGGTGATGCCCCACCCTGCTTCGGCTTGCCCACCTTGGGCTGTTCCCGCTGTCTAACCAATCCCAATGAGATGAACCTGGTAGGGGAGCGCTAAACACTGGGGTCTATTGGGGGGAAAAGGGGAGGGCCAGTGGGAGGGGGAGGTGGGGAGGGATAGCCTGGGGAGAAATGCCAAATGTGGGTGAAGGGGAGAAGAAAAGCAAAGCACACTGCCATGTGTGTACCTACGCAACTGTCTTGCATGCTCTGCTCATGTACCCCAAAACCTATAATCCAATAAAAAATTAAAAAAAAAAAAAAAAGGAAATGTGGAGATCATTCATCTTCTGGTGTGTTCTCACTGGGAACTGCAGACTGGAGCTGTTCCTATTTGGCCATCTTGGCCAACCTTAACTTTCTTTTCAAGGGAGACTAGAATTAGGTAATAATTTGAAATATTCTTTGCCAAAGTTGCAGAAAGAATAATCTGTTTTTTAATGGGATGTAAAACATTATTTTTCATTGTTTAATTTTCATGACTGTGTCTTCAAGGTACCATTACTCTTTCAAGTTACGAAGGTGAAAATACACTTAAACAAAAGCAGTTGTGAATTTTCAGAAACAAATATGCTAATTTTTATTTACCCAGAGTGCAATGCAGTTGGGCAAGGGCATACTTTTAATTCATTTTGTAAATAACTTTCTGCACCAAAAGGACAGTTTTTTGTAAGAAAAATTTAATTGGGTTAAATTTCTAAAATAGTGCTAGTGACATGTAAAACATTTCTTAGATCAAGTGACTAGCTATCAAGAGAAACTGTAAAGGCCAACTCCTTGGGGATACAAATTTAAATGTCACTTGAGCAGGTGTTCCATTTGAATCTAATAAAGTTTAAGTTATGCCTTTGTAATTTAGAAAAGAAATATATTCTTGTGATTTAGTAGAGTTATCATGGAGGGGATTATATGAAGGGATTACAAATAATGCAGAGAAAAGGGAAGTAATAAGCAGATGAATGAGCAGTTAGAAATTGTCTTGAGATTTATCTGGAGTAACAGAGCTCTGGGTGGATCAAGGAAAATGTTTGGGATTTGGCTTCTCAGAAACATTTTGATATTTTAGTATCAGGCAAAGCCAATTTAACCTGGGTTTGTACACATGAAGTAGAATATAATGAATGAGCTTCTTTTCCTACCTTCAGTGCAGTGGTGCTTACCATAAAGGGTCCACAAATTTACATTGCTGAGATCTAATCTCACCTTTCAAACTTCTGAATTTTCTACCTTTGAAGTCACTAAAGTGTTACTAAGAAGTAGATATTGAAATATGTATTGAATTTTCTTAAAAGGACAATTAAAATGCAAAATTATGTCACTAAAGTGAAAGGTTAGGAGGTTTTGACAACCAAGAAAACCAGAGTTTACAGTCTGAGTATACAAAACCATTTATGTTTATTTTGTAGATGAAAATGTAGAGTATTCTTTCAATATTTGAGTTTTTTTTTGATGTACAGAAATCATATTGGCTGAGGAAAATGAAAAAGTAATTACACAATGAAAGTTTATATAGCTAATAAGATTTAAACGGACTGTTTGCAACCAAAAGAATGTGTGTAAAGGCCATTATGAATCACAAATATGAAGCTCCTTCCAATGTCAGTGTTCTGGGATATAATATTCTTTTTTTTTATGAAGTCTTACTCTGTCACCCAGGCTGGAGTGCAGTGGTGTGATCTCAGCTCACTGCAGCCTCTCCCTCCTGGGTTCAAGCAATTCTCCTGCCTCAGCCTCCCAAGTAGTTGCAATTGCAGGTGTGTGACAACACACCTAGCTAATTTTTCTATTTTTAGTAGAGATGGGGATTCACCATGTTGGCCAGGCTGGTCTTGAACTCTTGACCTCGTGATCCACCTGCCTTGGCCTCCCAAATTGCTGGGATTACAGGTGTGAGCCACCACTCCTGGCCAGGATATAATATTCTTAAGATGTTCTTCCAACTCATATAATAGGCTTTAGGTCATGGTTCATGTGTTTATGTAATTAAAAAATATAAGCATATAGTTTAATTAAACCTAGTTTTAAAAATAAATGAACAAATCATTAAAAAATCACTAAAATTACATTTATTTTCTATATTTCCCATTTTCTCTATATATTTATATATCTTTTACTGTGATAAGAGCACCTAACATGAAATATATCATCTTAACAAACTTTTAAGTATACAATACTGTATTGTTAACTATAGACAACATTGTTGTACAACAGATCTGTAGAACCTATTTATCTGGCACAGCTGAAGCTTTTTGCTTGAAAATGGTACAGCAGGATATTATAACAAATTAAGAACATGGGTTATGAAATCAGACTGCCTGGGTTTGAACCTTCATTCTGATGTGTACTAGCTGACAGACTGAGCAAGTTACATAACCTCACCTCAGTTTTTAATTCAGCAAGCAGGGATAATAGTGGTACATACATTGCAGGGCAGTTGTAAGTATAAAATGCATCGATATGGGTAAAGCACTTAAAATGGAACATAGTACATCATTTGATTTTATTAAATGTTAGATACTACCACTTAAACACATAATTTTCAACCTCAAGGAATTTATAATTCCACAAAGTGATAACTCCACTTTGGAAGACAGTACATGTGGAGAAATTGGTGAAAACATTAAGTACTATACGGTGTGATAGAGGTTATAAATATGTAAGACATAAAGAAAACCCAAATTTATGGTGGACTTGCAAATAATTGAAGGTTTTATGGTAAGTTGCTGTATGGGAGGAAGTGGGACTATGACTAGAAATGATAACATGGGCAAAATCCTGGAAGAAATAAGCCACAAGATTCTTTGATGTGGAGTAGGATTTAACTATGGCCACATTTTGTTTAAAGTCTTTCAAAACTGAGAATCCATGTAGGAAATATTACTCAGTAATTTTAAGTAATAATACCACCTCTAAATACTTCAAAATTATATATATATATTTTGAGCAGAGAACATGCTTTATTGAGGAGTAGATATAGAAGAGCACATTCTACCACATGTGATGAAGGCTTTAGCTTCTGTAAAAGGCCTTTACCCCTTAAGAAAACTCCCAGTGAAGTTGCTTTTGGATAAATTTTAACAGTGACACTGAAACTGGAGGGGAGCTGCCACTGAACATGCTTAAAATTAGCTCCCACAACCCATAGTGAATATAAGTAGTATACAGAGATGACAAGAGAAAGGCACAAATGACCAGAGTCAGGGATTGTGGTGAGGGCTCCACATGAAGACAGCATGTTGTAGGAGACCAAATTGGGAAGGGTGACATGTCATACATCAAAAGTTGCCCCAAGATAGCAGGTTGTAATGGGCTAGAGAGAAATTAGAGGAAACATCTCTTCCTTCACTTGAACAACACCAAAAATAGAAGATCAGAGAATAGAAGGATGGTATGAATCCAAAAAAGGAAATGGAGAAGGAGTTTATGGAAGGGCAGAAGCACTTTAATCCTAGCAGGAGGGTGAGGCACCATTGAAAAGAGAAGCAAACCTTGGCAGGGGTGGCCATTCTGCCTTGCTGAGTCATGGGCTGAAATACAGAAGGCACTTTCAATCATTTTCAAGTTCTCCCAGGGCATTCAGACAAAATCAGTGCAATTTATATGGAAATACAGATGTATGTCGGGACTGGTATAGGTGAAAAAGTTTCTGCAGTATAATTAACCACCTAGCATGTAGCAGGAAAGGGAGAACTGGATATGACTTTGGCACCTGCTAACGTACAAAGGGACTGCGAGTAAAGAGATAAGGAAACATTTACTGGTGGGTACTTTCTGGTGAGGCAAAAAGAAGTATCCATTCCCTTCCGCCAAGACACTGCACACTGCCCACAGGTGAACTCAAACACAGAACCACCACTTCATTTTTCTCTCCATCTCATTCAGATAAATTATATGCTATTACCATGACTAGTCCCTGGGAAGCTCTTCAAAAGTATTTGGGTCTGGTTAGCCCAATACTGATCAAAAATAGGTCTCTCAATCAAAATGAAGGAAAGAAATTTAAAGCAAGATATAGCCTAAAGTGAATGGACCCCCTCCTAATCCACACACACTCACAAGTGCCACCTCTTCCCTACCCCTCCGTAGAACACATGTATTAGGAGTAACTGGAAAGGTCCTGGTGGTGGCAGCCATATTTGGAGGGCTGGTGACCAGGTGGCAAGCACTAGTACCATGCTTAGAAAACACAACACCACCTCATGGGGCGAGAGGACCCGAGGAGAGAACCAGTGGCTGGACACATACAGTACCATAACAGAACTCCTTGGGTCAGTGCTGAGAGATCTGCACTCAAGTCTAATACAGATCCCATCCAGGCAACCTCACTGAGGCTGAAACAACAGTTCCTCAGAACCAGCGTCTGCAGTGTACATGGAGGTCAGAGCCAGGACAGTCCTGAGGGGCATGGCCTTCCTAAACGGTACTTGCCAATCATAAGAGCAACAGAAATGACAGAGAGATCTCTAGGGTACGGATTCTTACTGCTGGGGTTTGCTGGCTCAGAATGACAGGTCACTTTAAGTGCCCTTGGGACGGGTCCATTTTAAGCAGCTGGGATCCATGGTTTTACTGGAGTTGGACCTTTTGGCCTCTTTGGCTATCCACTCATCAATCAGGTCCTGTCTCTTTAAAACTAGGTGTTTTCCCTTCCAGTACTTGAGCATCTGAAGGGCTTGCAGAGTACTGACAATGTCCATGGGATTCACAGCCGTCTCCTGACTGATTTCTTCAACAGAAATCTCTTTGCATTGGAAATTATGCAGATAGCGGTGAAGTACTTCTTTCCAGTAACTGTGATGGCTTGTAAGCCCCAGATCTGAGAGTGGACATTCTGGGGAGCCAACTTTTTCTTAGACGTTGGAAAGCAAATAACTGAAATCAATGAACATCTTGCCATAGCCCTGTCTCATGTACTGAGGCATGGTAAGGATACAGGATATGTTGTAGTTGAGGAATGAATTCTTTTCCTTGGAAAAATACCCAATCAGGTGACAGCCAGTGTTGTCCGCCTCTGTCATAACATAGAACAGGAAGGGTTCCACATCGTAATATAATGTCTTGTGGTCCAGAAAAAGTTTGGCCAACAGGCATGGGTTTTGGCAGTAGATCTTGTTTTTCTTGCCATCCACTTCAAACATGGAGATTGAACCTTTGCGATATATCTCATCACCAGGTGGGTGTTTCCACACACACTTGGCCATGTGCTGGTGGAGTATCATTTGGCTTTTCATATATTTTAAACAGAATTCACACATAGAGAGATGTCCCAGCCATGCATATTCTTCAGGATATGGAGAATGGTACCAGGTATCAAGTTCATAGCGGCCAAAAGCAATTGTTTTAGTCATGTTGCTTCCCTCTGTGATTTGGCCTTGCAGCCTTAACTTCTCCAAATCCTCTGAAGCCCGGGCTTGTGCTCTTTGGAAAAGATCCAAGTGATACTCGCTTGTCAGGTTTTCTATGAGAGGTTCTGGTGTGTTCCCATAGGTCTGTCTGTGTTCCATCTGCTTGTCTTTCTGTTCTTTGCTCATTCCAGAATTTCTTTTCCTCCTGAGTTCAGCCACTTTTTCCTTATATCAAAGCTGCCTCTCCGTTGATGCCTGGTGCCTGGTTGCAGGCCTGTTGTCATCTTGCCTGTGAGACAGCATCCTTTCTTCTATCTGCTTATTCCGGCTCTGTGCTCACATCTTGCATTACTCAGCTGAGAGGTTATCATAGAGTGGGCATCATAAGATGGAGAAATGTCTCTCATGTTTTCCTGTAAGGTGTACTAGAGTTATAGCCTGGTGTCGGACACTTCATATTGAAGTTGTAGCTTTCGTGAAAGCGACGGCGCTTGGGGCGACCAGAGAGATCAATGCCTGAGTCCTTCAGAGACGTGTCCTTGGCAATGCTCTCATCATGAGACACACTGGGGCTAGAGATGTCTATGTCAGACTCAGAAGAAGGTGCCTTTCCAGTTCGAGGTGATGACTCATCATGATCAGCTGTATTTTTCGTTTCTGTCTGAAAAACCAACCACTTGCTCAGTTTCTGAGTCAGATGAACGAGTCTGCTGAAGAGGGTATTTTTTCGGTTTCACTGGGGCAGGCTGCTGCTGACTACGGGTCACTCTTCTTGTATAATAAGCAGGCTTTTCGGTGCCAAAAGACTGCAAATTTCGAAGAGGGCTGGAATCTTGAGAACTCTGGCTTAGCCTGGCTGAGGAGCGAGTAACTCGAGCACATTGTCGGGATGTGCCATCACTTTCTCAACTGCCTGTGTGCTTGACATCTGTAGAAAAATCGGAATCTTTGGTTCCATTTGAACTACTGCCTGCATTCCTCTTCCTTCACGGCATTGCTGGCGGTTGCGGTCCGACGGTTCTGATTTGGGCAGCAGCGGCAGCAGCAGCAGGAACTGTGGCTCCGGCGGGCTTCGTGGCGGCCTCTGTAGCAGTCCTAATCCTGCAGACGATCCCTAGTGCTTCCTGCCTCTCAGCGTCTGAAGCGTTCTGCCCTTGTTATATATTTTTAAAAACTTTAACATGCCGGATCTAATTTGAGTTTCACAAATGCCCTATAAAAATGCAGGGCAAGTATTATTACCATTTTACAAATGAGGAAGCTGAGGATTAGCGTTTATGTCATTTGCTTAAAGTTACATAACTGGTTCTTCCGGCGCCTCCCCAGTCAGGGAGGGATGCTGCGGCTCTACAGAGCGCTGGGGCAGGTCGGGGAAGAACCCAGTACTTGGGGTTCCGCTCGGCTTCCTCTTGCCGCCGAGATGCCCAAGAAGGCTGGTGCGACGACCAAGGGTAAAAGCCAGAGCAAAGAGCCAGAGAGATCTCTTCCTCCCTCAGGGCCTGTGGCAGTTGATCCTATAGGTTGTGTCACCATAGCCATCCATGCCAAACCTGGCTCTAGACAAAATGCTGTAACAGATTTGACAGTAGAAGCCATCAATGTAGCTATTGCAGCACCCCCATCAGAGGGAGAGGCTAACGCTGAGCTCTGTCGGTATCTTTCCAAGGTCCTAGAACTCAGGAAGAGTGATGTGGTTTTGGATAAGAGTGGTAAATCTCGTGAAAAGGTGGTGAAGCTTTTGGCCTCTACAACTCCAGAAGAGATCTTGGAGAAATTAAAAAAGGAAGCCAAAAAAACATGAGCAAGAAATGAGGCCAGGTGTGGTGGCTCATGCCTGCAATCCCACGAGCGGCCAGATCACCTGAGGTCAGGAGTTTAAGATCAGCCTGACCAACATGGTGAAACCCTGTCTCTACTAAAAGTACAAAATTGGCTGTGTGTGATGGTGCATGCCTGTAATCCTAGCTACTTGGGAGACTGAGGCAGGAGAATCGCTTGAACCCAGGAGGCAGAGATTGCAGTGAGCTGAGATCGTGCCATTGCACTCCATCCTGGGCAACAAGAGTGAACTCCCTCTCAAAAAAAAAGAAATGAAAAATACATCCTTGAGAAACTTTTTTATTGCTAATTATGAAAAGGCTGTTAAATAGAAACATATACTACATGAAGAACTATGCTATACTATACTACAGAAGAACATGCAGAGAAGAATATATATATATTGAAATAAGACTTCAAAAAGTAGAAATTTAAAAAGTGCTATACATTGAATACAGGTTCTAAAATCCCTAACCCCAAACAGCCTGGAACATGTTACTCTGATTTCATGTCATTATAAAATAACAGAGCTGGAAAGAATATTCAAGATGACCTGATTTAACACCTTTCATTCTGTGGGCGGAGCTTCTGATGCCCAGAAGTTGAGAGACTTACTCAAGATTGTACCATGCAAGTTGGAACTAGAACTCAGATCTTTTGACTCCTTTTTGAATTAAGTTTTTCCAGATTGTAAATTAAAATCATCATATCTCAAAAAAAAAAAAAGTTACATAACTAGTAAGCAATAGAGACCAGGTTAGCATCCAGGTCTTCTGGATTCCAATCTAGTGCTCTTCTACCATATTGTGCTGCTAGCTGAATAGCAGAAGGATTAGTAAATGAGAAATAAGGATTGAATTTTGTGATAAATGTTATATTTGATCTTTGTCTCCAGCAAGGGAAAAATAGTATAGGATAAGAGGATAGGTATGGTCAGGTCACAGGTAAATTAAAAATAAATGAGCACAAGCTATTACTATGCCTTAGAGGTTCTTTGTCTTTATGTTTTGTAATTTTTTCCCCAAGGGACTACAACATTAGAAATGAAATAGAAATAATGTGCAAATGGCAGATTCTGATAGAAATTTTTCCCAAAGCTTTCCTTTTTCTTCATAGTTATCATTTATTTCCTCTGAGATAATGTACCTTTTAAAACACAAAGTTAAAGAACACACTACACTTCAGCGAAAGCTTGTCCATGAATATTATATTTCAGCCTAGATGAGTTATTGTGTCCGTTTTGAGATCAAAGGGTCCACTGTAATATAAAACTCACTGTAAACATATCAATGATATTCTTCTCAACATACCAACAAAAAGTAATGAAATAATAAAACTTACAGTGAACTTTCAACCATAATACATATCACAGAGTAAAATCTCTTACATATAGTTGTAAACATATACATAAATGTTTGTACTTCTTAAAAGAATTTGTAACATGAATGTTCAAAATTTTCTTCATAAATCCTTTGTAGTTTATTTTGATCTTCAGTTCTCATCTGATGGCATGCATGCAAAGGAATATGTTAGAATGATTGAGAACTATTGCCAATTTTATATCTTTTTAAATATTTGATAACTGTTAGCTTACATATAATTTACACGGACGAATTTTATATATTTTATCCTTTGTAAAGCTTTTATTTGAAAAGGAAAACCTTAATATGAGAAATATTTTATAGTGCAAAGATACAAATACTCTTCAAATTTTGGTGAATGGTCAAAATTATTTATAATTTAGTTCATAGTTGTGGTCTGAATTTTTAGCATTTAAAATATCTACAAATATCTAATAATGTGAATGCATAAATGAGATAGATTAGTGGGCACATATAGTTAAGTATTTGTAAATATTAATAAAAAATTGTATTTTATTTAAATGATTTGAGAAAATACTCATTTGGGAAACTGTTCTCATTGGTTTGGACTGGAAATAGGTTTAAACTATACCTTACATATTTCTTCTCCTTTTTCTGGCAAAGAGGCTTTCTTCCTGGGCACATAAGTCATGCTGGACAAGGAATGCTTTCTAAATGTAGACAGTCTTCTCCTAAAGTTACCCCCAGAAAAGAAATATAGGAGCGGGTCAAAGCAACAATTTGATGCAGCCAGAGACAAGGTTATGACAACTGACTTCTGCATTCTAAGGACAGAATCACAGGGTTTAGTTTCATTGTGTAAAAAATGAAGGTGAATGGTACGTTGAATATGATATGGCATGAAACTGACTAAAAAGGCAGCTGTCACGACCATGATCATTCTTATAGCCTTTTTATGACTTGACGGATTTTTCTTCATTGATTTTTTTAGTAAGGTCAAAATGATCATTGTGTAACAGACAATTATAATAACAAAAGGGATGATAAAGCCAAGAAACAATGACACATAATGCAAGATCAAAACATGATTTTTAGTTTGATTGTCTTGTGGGGGCTCAAAGCACTTGGTATTATTTTTCTCATCTTTGTATGACTTGGTTATTAAAAATGGAGAACTGGCCAAAATTACAAAAATCCAAATACCAACACACACAAACCTGGCTTTTTTCTGTGTAACCAAATTAATGTTCTGAACTGGGAAAACAATTGCAATGCACCGGAAAAAGCTCATGGCTGTCATAAAAAAGATGCTACAATAGAGGTTGACATACAAAGCATAGGTGCTGAGTCGACACAAAAAGTCACCGAAGAACCAAATGCCTTTGTGAACATAATAGACCACACGGAGAGGCAGCGTGCACACACAGAGTAGATCTGCTATTGCTAAATTAATCATGTATATTTGGAAGGCTGACTTCTCATGATAGGTTTTTATGAGGACATAGAGCACAAAGCCATTGCCAAAGAAACCTACAACAGAGATCATAGAGTACAAGGTGGAATACACTTGATTGCGGAATTCATCAATAGTGTCATGGCATGTGGCAGAAGATACTGTCAGGTTTCCAGTTCCATCCATGTTTCTCTAGGAATGTCTGCTTTTTGCCTACAATATATAAAAAAATTGTCAATTTTAACCAGACCATAAATTACAGGAAGTACTAATGTTTCATTTCATAGTGTCACTATGTATAGTTTTTGACCACAGCAGGAAGTGAGAGTAGTGAGGCAATGAGGAGGGATTCAGCTGTATCTTTTCCTCAGGAGAAGAGTTTGTGTTCTACAGGCATCCAGAAAACGCTTTTTTACTCCTTTCCCACCCATGGTTTTCTGATGGTCTTCCTCTGAATCTTCAAGACCTCGGTGAAACAGCCCTCCTGTATTTTAAATCATACTACTCTAGTACAATTTGGTATATTTTCCTTTCAAATGAGCTTGTTTTTCCATTAGAGAAAAGCTTTAAGATAGCAGTTTCATGTGTATGAATATATCTGTATCTATATCTATCTATCTATTGGAAAATCTCTGAGTTATTTTAGAGAATAAAATCTGACTAAATATACTTGGTTCCTTTAAGAAGAGGGCTTTCTTGGTAACATCTGTTGAGTGCTGCCCATACCTATGGAAAATAATCTAATTTGCTGTTAATGAAACTCCCTCCCCTGGGGAACATGATTAATCTACAACATGGTTGACTCTATCTATAACTGCAGAACTCCATGGCTAGAGAAACCTTAGAAGCCATCTAGTTATTTTAATGATGACAAAAATGTTTCAGAGTGATAAAGTACATTTCTAAAATCTGTACCACTAAGGCTCTGAAGAAAGATGTAGTACAACTAGTTGGAATATACTTGTTGGGTAAGAAATATGTTGTAGCTGTTCATTTTTGTTCTCCTTCTAGACTTTCTAGCTCTCTACTGTTTAGCAAGATACAGTTATTTCTCTTATAAGAAGAATATCTCTTATAGTTTATACTTGCTCTAGTCTATTTCAGCTCTGTCACTGAGGGCAGTCAACAAGTTCTGATCAGAGAGGGCTTGAGGTGAGAAACTGTGGTGTAGAAGTAGTGATTTCTTTCTTTTTTTCTCTAGATTATTCTCTTTTATTCTTTACAAAGGTTGAAGGAACTCAATATATATTAGACAATCTTCTATTGAAGTCTGATGCTGACCTTTTACACAACTCCTGCTCCCTTGTAAGAGAGGTGTTGGGGTTTGTAAGGTGAGTATACAAAAACTGCCAGCCATGAAGGGGACTGATCTTTACTAAGGATACAGAAACAGATAGCTATGGTAGTTGTTGCAGGTGAGATATAACTTCCCAAGTTTACTACTGCTAATAACTATATTTGCTATTGAGGATGCAGCATCCATCCAACTAACCATCCCAGCTAGTTGTTCCATTTTTTTCCTTTCATTAAAAAATTTTATTATTATTTACCAAGAAATTTGATGTAAGATAAAAATTGGATGGATTTTCTGAGCCAAGATGGCCAACTAAATGCAGGCAGAAAGAATTCTTCCACCAAAAGACCAGACTGTGAAGAAGATTGTGACACTCCAAATTGATCCTTGGAAAAAAGGCATTGAAAGTGGACAGATGGAGGATGCAGACCCTGGGCTGAAATGGGAGAAAGGTGAGAATACTGCACAGGTGTACCCAGTACTAGGACTAATTCCTGGCCCAGAGCAGCTCCTGGGGAAGAGATGAGTGAAATAGGCTTGGAGTAGTCAAGGACACTTGGGCCATGGGCATTTGGAATCTTAGCTACAGAAAACCCCATGACCCCCATGGACATTTGAGCTGGCAGGGAGAACTGCTCAGAGAGTTGGCAGAGACAGAAATCCAGCCTTCACAGAGCCCAGAGTGTTTGGCACCAGAATGGCTATAGTGGAGCATGGTCATGGTTACACATACCCCAAGGATCACCATACTCCTCTAGGTGGCTTCATCTTTTGTTGGCTGCCAGAACTGGACAGAGCAAGACTATCTTGCTCATAGGATAGGGCTAGTCTGATCTGAGGACCGCCTTGTCTGCAGGACTCTCGCAAGGTCCCTGTCTGGCCACACCTGCTTGCAGCACAGCTTCAGCTGCCCAGCCAAAGAACTTGCTAGCAGCTACCACCATAGTTCTTTCACCAGAAGTTCTTTCACCATAGTTCTTTCCCTGCGTAACAGTCAGAGAGCTGTTTTGTAGATGGACTGCCACTAGCATACAATTGCCTGCAGCCTCTCCCCACCACTTTACCAGCACATGTGCACAGACCCCACTGCCACCCCTATCACCCCCCTGAAGTGCTTTTGCTGGCAGTCCCTATTGACGTATTGTTGCCAGTAGACTGGGAACACCTTGGTTCCTCCAGAACAGCAGGTTCTTAATCTTAAGGGACCAGAGAAAAAACTGTGGGCCTGGTCCCAGCCCACCAAAGATAAGCACACAGCTCAGGAGAACTGAGCTGAACCTTGGACCCCTGAAATTATCCAGAAACAAAGTCAATTGACTAAACTTTAGTTATACCAGTCAAACCATCAAGGGCATCAAAGAATATAAAAGCAAAAACCCATATGCAAAGGACAGCAATTTCAAACCTTAAAGGGACATCAGCCCATACAAACAAGAAAGAACCAGTGGGAGAGCTCTGACAACTCTAAAATCCAGAGTATCTTCTTATCTCCAAATAATCAAACTAGCTCTCTAGGAATGATTCTTAACCAGATTGAAAGAGTTGAAATGACAGACATAGAATTCAAATCTGTATGTCAACAAAGTTCATTGAAATTCAGAAACAAGTTGAAACTGAATTCAAAGAAGCTCATGAATCCAATAAAATGATACAAGAGCTGAAAGATAAAATAGCCATTTTGAGGAAGAACCAAACTGATTTTCTAGAGCTGAATAACTTTCTTCAAGAATTTCATAATACAAATGGAAATATTAACAGGAGAATAGACCAATGTGAGGAAAGAATCCCAGAGCTCAAAGACCAGTTTTCAGAAATAACTCAATTAGACAAAAAGAAAAAAAGAAGAAAGAACAAATCCTCTGAGAAATAATGGGATTATGTAAATAGACTGAACTCATGACTCATTGGCATCCCAGAAAGATAGGGAGAGAGAGATCAAGCAACATGGAAAACATCAAGAACACTAGCTCATTTACAATAGCTGAAAAAGAATAAAGTTCTTAGGAATACAGCTAACAGGGGAAGTGGAAGATCTTTACAATGAGAATTACAAAACACTGATCAAAGAAACCAGATATGACATAAACAAATGAAAAAACATTTTATGCTCATGGACGAGATGAATCAATATTGTCAAAATGGCTATACTGCCCCTTTACAGATTTAATGCTATTTCCGTGAAACTACCAACATTGCTTTTCACAGAATTAAGAAAATCACTTCTAAAATTCATCTGACACCAGAAGAGCCTGAACACCCAAAGCAAACTAAACAAAAACAACAAAGCCAGAGCCATCACACTATCCAACTTCAAACTACACTACAAAGCTAGAGTAACCAAACAGCGTAATACTGGTACAAAGACACATAGACCAATGACGCAGAATAGGGATTCCAGAAATAAATCTGCACACGTACAACCATCTGATATTCAACAAAGTCATCAATAACAAGCCATGGAGAAGGGACTTCATATCCAAAAAATGGTGCTTGAGATAACTGGCTAGCCATATGCAGAAGATTGAATCTGGACCCATCCTTTCACCATGTAAAAAAATAAACTCAAGATGAATGAAGGCTTAAACATAAGACCCAGAACTATAAAAACCCTAAAAGAAAACCTGGGAAATACCATTTTCAACAAAAGACCTAGCAAATATTTCATGACGAAGATGTCAAGAGCAGCAAAACATAAATTAACAATTGGGATCTAATTATACTAAAGAGCTTCTGCACAGCAAAAGAAACTATTAACAGAGTAAACAGACAACCTACAGAATGGGAGAAAATATTTGCAAACTACCCATCCAGCAAAGATCTAATATCCAGAATCTATAAGAAACTTAAAGCAACATGGAAAAAACAACCTCGTTAAAAAAACCGGCAATGGGCATGAATAGACATGACACTTCTCAAAACAAGACAGATGCAGCCAACATACATATCAAAAAATGCTCAACATCACTAATCATCAGAGAAATGCAAGTTAAAACCACAATGAGATACCATCTCAGACCAGTGAAAATTGCTGTCATTCAAAAGTAATGAAAAATACTAGATGTTGGTGAGGTTCTGGAAAGGGAACACTTATATATTGCTGGTGGGAATGTGAATTAGTTCAGCCACTGTGGAAAGCAGTTTGGAGATTTCTGAAAAATCTTAAAACAAAAATGCCATTTTAGCCAAACAATCCCATTAGTTGGTAAATACCCACAGGTATATAAATTGTTCTTTTATAAAGACACATATACTTCTGTGTTCATTGTAGCACAATTCACAATAGCGAAAACATGGAATCAACTTAGATGCTTATCCATGGTGGACTGATAAAGAAAATGTGGTATGTATATGCCATTTGATACCAGGCAGCCATAAAAAAAGCATACAAGACTGTCTTCGGCTGCAACATGTAAGCATCTGAAGGCCATTATCTTAAGCAAATTAATGCAGGATCAGAAAAGCAAATACTGCATGTCCTCACTTGTAAATGGGAGCTAAACATTGGGTACATAAGGACATAAAGATGGGAACAGTATATATTGGAGACTACTATAGGAGGTATAAAAGGGAGGGGATTATGGGCTGGAAAACTGCCTATTGGGCACCATACTCACTACCTCAGTGGTGGAACCATTCGTACCCCAATCCTCAGTGTCACACAATGTACCCATGTAACAAACCTGCACGTGCAGACCCTGAATTTCCCCTACCCTCCAATCATTCTGAGCCCATAGTGGAAAATGAGACTCCTATTCCAAACTCCTGCATTGTTTCTCAATTTTCTTTATAGTTACCTGCCTCATTCACCACTGGTTGTGAACTCAGGTGCTGTTGTGGAAGGAAAAAACTACCTAAAGTTAATCTTTTTCTTTTTTTCTTTTTTTTTAAATTGCATTTTTGGTTTTGGGGTACATGTGCA